TAATGCATTAGATTACCAGAAAAGTACATAAGACGAAAAGAAAACAAGAGATTAGAACAAATACTTCTGAAAAAGCGTCTCGCTGATGTGATCTGATTGGAAGAAATCATGTGGAAGCAAAAGTCTTGAAGCCTTTGACTAAGACAGAGGGATCGTAATACAAGATACTTTCCACAGAATGGCTAGGGTTCATAGGCGATGCAATTTTGAATAGAATGGAAACTGATAGGAATACTTTTGAAGACATTAATCTGCTAAAGGAGGAGATTGGGAACTACTATAGACTTGCGACGCTTGTCCTCGTCCCGAGGACTTGTCTTTTGAGAGCGCATTAGTGAAGACATGGCATCGACTCTTGAACTAGCTTTTGAAGAAGAAGAGATCAAGAATGCTATTATGAGTAGTAATAGGGATAAAGCACTGGGTTCAGATGGGTTTACTTTGGCTTTCTTAAAGGAGAATTGAGAAGTAGTGAAAGATGGTTTGTCATTAGTTTCAATCAAATGGTATTTTGTCAAAGCATTAAGCTACTTTTATCCACTTATTCCCTAATAAAGGTAGAAAACAACTGACCTGGTTAACTACTTAAGCAAGTGTTATCGAATCTAAGGCCATAATATTCTAACTCAGCAAGCCAAAAGAGCAGATCAACCAAAAGATGCGTTAAGGAAATATTATAACAGGTTCTGCACATGCCTTTCCCAGGGAGAGCATGTTATGCAGAGGGCCATAGTGCTATTCAGAAGTGCCACTTAGAACCAAACACAATGAGTTCAATTTCCAAACCACTTACAAACAATCTGCAAACTTACTACTTAAAGTCTGATAAGGATAGAACGTTACCATTTATAAGAATAGCTTGTGCATATGGGTCAGAATGACTTAGTTCCTGCCACCAGAAGATAAAAGAACACGCCGCAGCAGTAATGGCTAGTCCAAGTGGTATAGTCATCCAAGCAACTTTCAATAGCTTTATAACATTTTCTCCTGCTGAAGCTCCATTGCTAAAGCATCACAAGACATTATGGTAAGTATATATCCATAACTTCAAAAAAACTATGAGTCGGAAACAGAACCACAAAGCACAAACTCCTAAAAGTAATGCAGATGAACATCAAGGTCTACATTTTTTGACTTGTTACCTACATAAATTCCAGATATTAGTTCATGTGTACTACTGCCACACACCAACAGCTGACTTCTTTTTCTTTGGATATATAGAGGATTAGATACAGGTAACAATGGACCCAGAGAAAGCTATAAAGGTTTTGATTGAGCACAAACTTATGAAAACACAGGTAGCAAAGACAAACTAAACAGCAGCCTCCACAAGTCCGACGAGAGATGGAACTATATAAAACTAGCTCCAGTCACTAGGCCAGCAAACCAGAGAAAACTTGATTGACAATTGAAAATGGACATTAAATATGTGAATCTGACATGGGAATTTTTCGAAGGATATAACAATAGATAGCACTAGGTGGCATTCATTATTTTTCAATAGATCCAAAACACCAAACCAGAAGAAGTTTGCTTATTTACTGATGCTGTCTCCCCTACAATATACAAACATAGACATAACTTAGCAAGTAATCAATAAACTTGAACACAGATCCAATAGTGCCAACTCCTTCAAGCGCCAGTTAGTATATATGCTTCGACCAAAAAAAAATTAGTATATACACAACGTTAGAATGATAGAAAGTCTAACAGCACAACTGTCACCAATATGCATACATGAAAGAGCAAGGAGAAGCACCATTGAATGTCAGCTCGCATGCATGCTCGACAAAATCCCTCCCGACTGAGGAACAACACACAGGTGACGAACAGATGAAATTTTACCGCGTAGAGCTTCATTAATAACGACACAGAAATTTCAGTCTAATCTACAGAGACACAGAGCAGAAGATCATAACATGACATAACATAACATATTGAAAGATCTCATCTATGTAATATCGGAATACATCACGGATAGTACAGGATGCGAGATTAGAGAGACCCAGCATCAGGGGATAAGGATTAACTGCTAAAATTCCAACTTCATACATCATAACAGGGTCTCTCGCTTTTATGCAAACTCAGACATTCTAGAAGAATGAAGAATAGTTAGCCTGCAAGAAACTCCCGCAAACACTAATTTCCCATTCCTTGATGCCGGAAGGCAAACTAAAAGTGTGCATATACTAAACGACTGCAAGTCCAAATTTTTACCGGCTAATAAACAACACCTGATAATGCAGCATCAGTGAACATTTCAACAATTAACAAAGGAAAAAAAAAAAAAAGGCCAGGACCAATCGAGTACCGCGTAATCGTCTGCAGTGAGATGCCGCACTATCCACGTATTGAACAGAAAAGGGATTCCCCTGGCCAAAAACTGCGTAGCTGATTTCCACCATTGGGAAAACCAAGAGAAAGAAACCAACTTGCTCAGCAAAAGAAAAACGCACAAAACTTCCAAAATCCGATCAAACAACGCATCAAAAGCTACCAAATTGAGAAGAGATTCGAAGAGAAAAAAGAACAACGGATGTGGCACTGACCTAGTAAGTACTTGAAAGTATGAGAGAGACTACTCCGATCATCAGCCATCTCAAAAACCTGAATTGAAGCGGACTCAGGAGGATTAGCGTCGCATCAGTCGCATCATCGTTTGTTTGTAATCTTCAAAATTTCCATTTTCAATTCCATAATTGTCATCGAACAGCTGTTCGACAAGAACTTCCAAGCAGACGCACGGCGTCGCGAGTCGAGCAGCAACTTCCTGAAGGATCGGACAGGACGAGCGGATCTTTCCGCCCCGGATCTACGCGCTTCGCGCTCGGAGCAACAGCCTCGGCACGTCGCCGTCTACTGCCGAGCACGTCGACCAACAACAAGACTCGCTTAATCTCCCCCCTCCGGAGCTTCGCAGTCGACTAGAGGCGCTTCGAATAGCGGCTGAGAACCGCGGCCTCCCGGAGGCCGGGGGGAGCTCGTCGGCGTTCGCGGCGGAGTCTGCGTCGTCGTCTCGTCGGAGGCGGGGCGCCACTGACTTCTGTTTTGTTTGCGCGACAGCAGGAGCTGATCGTTTTCGGGATCAATGAAAATGTATAAGGCTTACTGTTTCTTTATAAGGGGAAAATAACACTAATAAGGCCCCCAACTTTTAATTTATTAAATATCATCACTAAATTATATATAATCTTTTTATTTTCTCAAATTATAAATCGGACGTTATTTTGACGAGGCAGATATTTATTTACTGAGTTGAATTTTTAAAAATAATGAATTGATATATCCATCATTTTATCCATCTTTTAGATAAAGATTATATTGAATATTTACCGTTATTTGATGACATAAATTATTATATTCAGATTTGAAATGAATATCTTACAAAGAAAATTCACGTGTAACTTTTTTTTTTGGTCCACCGTCCAAACAGATTTCGTTAAGTTGAATTAATAAAATGACAATATTATACATTTTCATATAATTTAAAGACTAAATTGAATATTTATTGATAATTTAGAGACCATATTAAACAATTTGGGCCGGTTCCATTTTATACTTGAAACCTGAATCAAACCACTGAAAAATTAGGGTTTTCTCTAAAGCTGAATGAAATTGAAGTTTGCCTAAAATTGATTTTGGAATTTTCTTGACCAATGAATCATGAAAAAAAAATGTCATATTAGGAAATTATCGTTCTTTACTATTGATAATTGGTTATTAATGATTCTAGCCAACTTTCTGATTGAAAAGAAGTGGTTAGAGTCAAAAGCAGAATGTTTTTACTTAATTGTCTAAGATCAAATTGAATAGAATCATGATGTGTCGAACTTTGACACCCCTAACTAGATTTAAGGAGGATGTAGTTTAGTGATCTCAACAAGGCAGTGTCATAGTTAACCTTAAACTCTGAGGTATGCCCGAAAATGAAATGAAGAGAATGACACATAAAAAGAAGCCTCCGGTACCATTCACCAACCATGGAGTCGCATTAGATTGGAACACGAACTCGATACATCAAAACCATATGTAGCAATTTCAACTTTCCTTTAGGAGGATAGAACGTCAGCCACTCCCTAAGGATGCGTCGTGCTCGTGCAGCCCCCTGGAGCATTACAGATGGAGATCAACGAAGGATTGTGTAAAAGAAATAGTTGCCTTTACTCTATTCCTAAGATCGGCCGCCATGCGATCAAAGCTAGGATCTCTGAACAGCAAGAACATTTCTAGCATCTGGCGGAGCAACAGCCATGACGGTGGCAGGGGCTTTGCATATCAGTCATGGGAAACTAGGGTTTTATATTATCCTCATTTTTAGAAATTCTCTTTTCGACCAAAAAAAACCCACCCTAATATCACATGTAAACATTGCGAAATTCCGCGTATTTTAGACTCAACATTAAGACAATTTCCATGAATTTTTTCATCTATATAAGATCGGAATGCGAGTTCGAATATGAATTACCCGTCGAATTGCGTTATGAATCTACCCATTTTCAAACAACAAAGAATCGGAGTTCTGAGTTCATATCATATATAATAGTAAAATATAAGAACTTGATAACGGTCAGAAAGTTTCTTAATATAGGAAAATTTTATGTGCTATTAACAAAATTATTGTGGTGTCAAGTGAAAATGATAAAAATCTTCCAAGGAAGTACTTCAGGGGACTAGTTGCGGAAAAAGGTAGGAATTCTCACTAATTGGTAATTTACAACATTGCAACATTGAAACTCTTCGAAGCTGATATTTTTGTCTCTTGTTAAACAAAATTCGCATCATTTCGTGAGATAACATACAAATTGTGGAAGGGGCTTTGCATATCGGAGTCACGGGAAACTAGGGTTTATGTTATCCTCACTTTTAGAAGTCATCTTTTCAACGAAATACCCAAAAAAAAACACATGTAAACAATGCAAAATTCAGCGTATTTCAGACTCGATATTAAGACAATTTCTATGAAAAATTAGCGATAGAAATCAAGAGAAGAGACCAAGGCAGATCTGCAACTTCCTATTTGTTTTTATCTCCGGGTTACCACACGAAAAAGACATGAACAGCATGTTTAGCCGGCAAAAGATGTATCAAAAGTACACCATTTGTTTGCTACCTCGGATGTCCCCCAAAATTGTGACAAAATGTTTGATCCTAACTGATGTAAAGTTAAGTAAACAATGATATCAGCAACTAAACTATTCACGATGTGGGAAACTTGACCTTACGTCGGACCAGGTCCTCGACCCGTCAATCAAAGCCTTCACAACGGAAGCCACTATACCCATATTAACCTGAACTCCCTCTCTGCTGTCCCTTTCTCGAATGGTGGCATCAGCATCAGCAGCACTTGAAAGGACAGTGATTGAAAGGGGCACGCCAAGCTCATCGATTCTGGCATATCTCTTCCCTATATTGCCGCCTGTAAGCATACCAAGGGCACAGTAGCATATCATCATCCAATGTAACTTTGGTGCTTTCACCGAGGATAAGAAGACAAATCTCGATCCAAATAGACAGCTCCAGAACAAAACAAGTCCTCATATAATATATGTGTAATAAGGATAATTCTGATGAGATTGTAACTAATTCAGAAAAGAGAAGAAAAGCCAAAAGTAAGTGCACTTTCAATTGACTCATCGCAGCTGATAAAGGAGACACGAATTTACTGATATATAGCCTCAAGCGACTCTTGTAAGGTTCATCTCAATCGACCTAAATGAGGTTCTTATCGCTACCGGCATTGCTGAAGATGGAGACTATGAACACAACATCGCCCCTACCAAAAAGTTCAAACGCGCAGACATCTTGATGCAGACAAGTTTCTCTCGCGAACGTGGGCCAACCGCCAGAGATGCTTGCTGCAAAAAATTGTGTTGATAAGTGTTGAGCTGCCCCAGCCACGATTTGTCTAAATACTCAAGAGTCGTGATATGCCAGTTCTTCTGAATGTATCTCTTTATGAACTCACAAGTAACACTCTGTCGATGTAGATATTTTGTGACCCAATCTAAGATGAGAAACATAATAGCTACAAGCAAACATAAAGAAAAGGGGGAGTGCTAGTGCCCATATAGAATGTATATGTCTAATAGAGTACATGTAATCAAATATAAGAGACACACACGAATCTAGTGAAAATATGAAGTTATCGATCTTCTTTTCACACACTCTGATTAGTTATAGAAAAGTACAAAAATATCTTGTAACTCTTTAGAGCTTGAACACTCTTACATGGTCATTATATCAAAATGGTGAAACCGTACAATCACAACTGGTCCACCATCACCGAGTTAGACACATTGTTGCTGTGTTAGTAAGTCCTCATCAACATAGTTTCCTTGTTTGATCCACCTCTTACAATCTAATCCAACAACATTAAGTGAATTGCCGAACTTCTCCCTACAAATGGTCTTGGATTCTGATTCTATGACCTGCCTTTGCCATGTTGATATCTCGATTTGCAATTCGAAGTAAAGAGACACTGAAGATACATGTGATGTAATCCGTTTGGTTTGAATTGGGGACACAAAAACCAAACTGGGCACAACCTTCATAGCTACTACTCTTTACATATGGACCCACAAATGCGGCAACATCTAATCTCATTGAATGATACTTATGCACCATAACAATTGAAGTGCATCGGAGTAAAATCAGAATAAGAGAGGATAGAAATCCTGAAGAGTCAGAAGTCAAGGATTAGAAGGAGAACATGGTCCAAGGATCGAAGTGCTTGGGAGCTAAGGGAAAATGCAATCCCATGTATCTTTAGTTCATATTAGTAGAGAATTGCTCTTTATTGTCTATTAGATTCTTATATTTGCTGGACAAAAATTCTCCAAAAGCGACCTTGATCAACATTTACATTTGAGTAACCGTCCATATTTCCACTAGGATAGCAATCAAAGCTGCTTGTAAAGAATAAACACTATTTATGACAATCCCTATAAAATATATATATATATAGAGAGAGAGAGAGAGAGAGAGAGTAGTCATTATGTGCAGAGAAAGTATCAAGTAGTCCCTTTTGGGAGGCATTTATACTTGAACTATAAATCATTAGATTCCTAATTCATGGTGGTTATTGCCTTTTTCAACCCTATGACCTTGTGTCCTGATTTACACATATGGCCATGAACACTTGAAGGAAGATAACATATCCAGTAATTTCTACTGAAAGCAAGTTAACTTGGGAAAAGTTTGGACAGTGAGGCACAGATGTGGAATGGGTGACAATCACCATGGAGATATGCCATGGAAAAGATGCTCGAAAGGGCTCACTGCACAAAGGGAAATAAGGATAATTCTCATGAGATTGTAACTAATTCAGAAGAAAAGCCAAAAGTAAGTGCACTTTCAATTGACTCATCACAGCGGAATAAAGGAGACACGAATTGCTTTGCTGATATATAGCCTCAAGTGAATCTTCCAATGTTCATCTCAATCGACCTAAATGAGGTTCTTATCGCTACCGGCATTGCTGAAGATGGAGACTTTGAACACAACACCATCCCTACCAAAAAGTTCAAACATGCAGACAAGTTTCTCTTGCGAACACTGACCAACCGCTAGAGATGTTTGCTGCAAAAAATTGTGTTGATAGGTGTTGAGCTGCCCCAGCCACGATTTGTCTAAATACCTAAGAGTCGCAATATGCCAGTTCTTCTGAATGTATCTCTTTATGAACTCACAAGTAATATTCTGTCAATGTAGATATTTTGTGAACCAATCTACGATGAGAAACATAATAAAAACAAGCAAATACTAAAGAAACAAAAGGAAAACAAAATGCACATTTATGCTACTATTTTCTAGCATGGGTCCTCAATCCCAACCTGGCAATTTGCAGGCAAAATGCCATTAACACTATGCTCTTAGACCCTACGATAGCGTACACAATTTTTGAACTCCCACGGTAACGCTTCGAGGGTTCTAACACTGATCGTCTCTACCACATCCTCTCGGTTTGTAAATAATATTTATCTTCTTTCGATACACCTGAAATGCTTAATAGGGAAAAAAGAGACCATGTCTTCTATTAGAATTGGTAATCTTACGAGCCCATAAATTAAATAAAGTGAAATTTCAAAATCACACCTGTGGTCCAACGTCCAACGTGCATGAAAACACAACATGAGCATCCACGAGATATCAGATTTTTCGATGAATAATGAAGGTATCACGAGCAATCGCTAGATCTCCATACCAGGATTGCAAAACCTCTCGGTTGCATGTGAAAGTAAACACTTAGAATTTAGGGCATTTGTCAACGGAAAAATGTGTCTTATATTCATCTAACTGTGGTCTAGTTTCATGTAGAGTCTGCCGAAACTCGAAATCAACAAATTTGCTGCTTCAGGCCCACCCTTCTTCGCCAAATTGGTTTTTCGTCTACAGAGAGTTATCCTCATCGAAGATGATGAATTTGACTTGGATCCACCCAGAGCAGCCTTTGCTTCTATTCCAGAAGCGATCGAGGACATCCGCTAAGGGAAGGTTGGTAGGCTTTCTGCATTGCATTTTCGAGTGCATTTCAATTGTTCATCCATTAATGCCTATCTCATGGTTGGAACTGAATTCCAGATTGTAATGGTGGCAGACGATGAAGACAGGAAGAATGAGGATGATCTTTTAATGGCAACACCTTAGGCTATGGCATCTATGGTGAAGTATGGCACTGGGATTGTTTGTGCGAGCATGAAAGAGGAAGGATTTGGACCGCTTGCAACTTCCTTTGATGGTGAATCAGGGGGAGAATCAAGAGAAGCTTCGGACTGCATTCACCGTGACTGTGGTATATGTTGTAAGATGCTTAAATAGTTCCTTCAATCAGCTCTTCTCGTATCTTGTAACTGATGATAATTAATTAGATATTGTTATAGGATGCAAAGCATGGGATAACTACAGGCATATCAGCGCCTGACAGGGCAACGAAAGTTTTGGCTCTTGCATCTAGAGATTTGAAACCTGAACATTTCAACAGGCCAGGACATATTTTCCCATTGAAGTACAGGGAGGGTGGTGTCCTGAAAAGAGCTGGGCATACAGAAGCTTCTGTCGACCTTGCTGTGTTGGCTGGATTGGAACCTGTGGCAGTTCTCTGTATGGTAGTGGATGATGATGGCTCCATGGCAAGATTACCTAAGCTTCGCGAGTGTGCACAGCGGGAGAACTCGAAAAATTGTATCTATTGCTGATCTAATTAGGTAAGTATTCTCTTCCCAGCAATCCAATGCAAATACTTTTCAGGGCACGTACTTCCCGATCCAATCCAAATTTCAGCTGCACCTTTCACTTCTTTAAGTATTGGCTGTTTTTGGCCAAGACGTTGTCCATGTGGCACCTCCCCTTTTTGGGAGTGGATAAATTAGGAGTTGAAAGCTTGGAACCCTTGGTAGGGTGGGAAAAAGTGTCTCTTAAAGGAGGCTGATGGGCTGTTGTTTTACGTAGCAAAGAGGAGCGAAGCATAAGCTATTTTGGTCCTATTCATCTCTCAAGTTTCCTTAATTATTAATCTTGTGGTTTGTTATTCTGCTCATGCAGATAAATGGTTTTGGGTTTTGAAGAGTTGTTTCTCCCAATTTTTTGTGTATGGTGTTGTTAGGTTAGTATTTGCAGTTCATTTCTTACTAGATGTTTAACTTTTAGAGATTGGTTATAACTAGCAGGATTCTTGTCAAGAAGAAACTCTCACTCCTCACACAAGCTAACAATCGGCTTCAATTCTTCCTCTGTTCTTATAAACCTAAATCAATCCATTAATTAAAGTATAAAAATAAATCTGAAGTAAATATGACCTTGATAAAGAGCGCCGAAATCGATAAATGCATACACTGAAGTGCAGGAGAAGAAATGTCAAAGATAGATGAAAAGACCATCCATATAAACTGAGCAAACTCCCAATTAATAGTTCATGATTCATAGCAAACTGTTAAGAGATACCAAATGGAAGAACGAGTAGCAGTTCAAAACATCGCTTCATTCAATCTAACCTATGTAGCATAACAACATCATACAAGACTTGCACAAATGACACCATAAGCTTGTGAACATCAGTATCCATCAAATCCCCAAAAAAATAGGAAAGAAAGGAGAGAAACGGTTGACTTATACAGTAAAAGTCATCGGCAGTGGTACACTTGATGTAGCCTCTGATTCACTGATGAGGAAAACGAAATTTAAGAACCATGAGTATTGAATGAATTTTTATAAAGATGGAACGCCTGCCAACATTGATGCATTTCACTTTGATCATATGCCCTCTCTCTTAAGTTATAGTCCTCAATAAAGTTATAATTAGCGCTTCAAAACGAAATAAACATAACTAGTACCCTCTGGCTCAAAATAGAAATATTGCATATACAAAATGCTATAAAAATGTATAGGGACACAAGATGAAAATACCTGTAGCCTTCTCGTAAAGTGTCTTGATCAGTTTTAACTGGCAAATTTGCTAGTGCTGATCTTTCTTTGCCATAGAAAGTAACTGCAAAACCCGTAAGATGGTAAGCTGGGACTTTGCCTACGAAGAAATAGCAAGCATACCTCCATAATTGGAATGCTCTAATATGGCGAAGACCCATATCACCATAAGAATTAACATTGCTGAAAATAAGAACCTAAGATGAACTCCACCCAAAATAAATAATATGTGAGGGTAAGTGTAGACACCTCCTCCTTCACAAAAAGGACCATTCTTTATCCATTTGACTGCAGGACACCATGAACCTACAAATAAGAAGCTCGATATTTGCACTCGTTGTTGGGATCCAACTTCAGCAGATAACTAAGTCCCACTCAACTAAATCCTCACACAGAATTATTGTAGAAAATTTAGGATAGAAGGCAAGTCGGAATTCCATCGACATCGAAGACGAGAATATGAGGATGACTGTAGTAGCCCCCATCCTTCTAATTGGAGGGGACTGTTCATCATCCTATTCATATAGGACCACGGGAAAACCACACATCAATAGCTCTTAATGTGCATCGTTTCATGTAGTCCCAACTCCAGAGCAAAGCATACGGCTAACCAAATCACACCACGAACTGAAACTTGAGTCGTAACTAGCTTAGTACACAGAGAACTTCCGCGGACACGACATTACCCAGCAAATTTCAGCAACCCACAGACAAAAGCGGAATTCCCATTCTATCAGAGGGGAGATGCGAGACAAGAAAGAAGCCACACGCACCGTAAATCATCGACCAACTTCCAGCGCCGGTCGTACGCATTGAGACCTCTGGTGCGAGCTTGGTATTGCCTGGAAAAGATAATAAAAAAAAAAACGAAACAAGATAGCACATGAGAAGTGCATGAGCACGAGGACGAAAACCCAACATCGGAGGAGGCAGAAAGTAGTGGGAAAACATTCCTCTAGACAAAGCTTCCATCGCATGTAAATTGAGAGGCTCTTGTGAAAAGCTTGAGATGTCTTTTTTTTTTTTTTGGTCATAAAGCTCTTGTAATTTTATTTACTTAGAAGATAGTTCGTTACAAGAGATCATGATATCCGAACAAAGTATTGATAAAAGGAAAGAAGGGGGGTGCAAGAGCCAGTTCGGTTTGAGAAGGCCTTTTTGATGGGCCCGGGCTAGGCAATCGGCGGCTTGATTCGTTTCTCGGCCGCAAAAAGAGATTGATCCGTGCGGTAATTGGACTAATAAGCTTTGGCAGTCTTGGACGACCGATTGGATTGACCATGGGCTAATTTCAAGGCCCATTATCCACTTAATACACATGGAACAGTCAGAGTTGAACTCCACTGTTGTACTTCCAAGTTCGTGAACTTCTTTGTACTTCCCCTCCTTTAGTTCGTGGACATCTCTGTGCTTCGCCTTCTTGAGCTCGTGTTGCAGGCACTCTCGAACGGCTAGGGTTTCGGCTGCGGAGGAGTCCGGTGCCCAGATACCCTTGGCGAACCCGTCGATCATCCTCCCTTCGTGATCTCGGCATAGTCCCGCAACAGATCCGTTCCCCGACTCGGCGCTCCAGGCCGCGTCTACGTTCCATTTACGGCTCCCCTTCTCCGGCGGCTTCCAAACTTCGGGGGCTTCCTTCAGTTTCTGCCCTCGTGTTTTCTCTTTGATGATGGCGAACTTTGTGTAGCTATTCCCGGTATTAATGGCTTCCTCTACCACCAGCCATGGGTTCGGCTTCCGCTTGCGAGAAATCAGGGCGTTTCGCCCTTTCCAGATCTGTCATAAGCAGTCCGCTATGCGTGCCAGAGGGGAGGACGTTTCACTGTTCAGACCAATTGCGAGGTACGTTGCTAGCCATGCTTCGGTACGGGTAATTTGGGCCGGCTGTATGTTGATGCAAATTCTGTAATCTGACCAAACTTGGGTTGTCAATTGACATAGCAGGAATAGGTGCTCTGTGGTTTCAGGATGGTTGCGACAGATGGGACAAAGAGGGTCAGGTACGCACTTGCGTTTATAGAGGTTTTCCCGAGTTGGGAGAGCATTTTGACATAAGCTCCATAGGAAGAAACGTATCTTTGGGTAAACTGGTAGCTGCCAAATTGAAGTCCATAGGTTTCTAGGTGGCTGGTATGATGATGAGGCCTGGTTGTTATTATCTTGCATGCTATCTGTCATTCGGATGCGGTTGTAGCCCCCTTTGACTGTATAATCTCCTGATTTGGTGCCTGCCCATATCAATTTATCCTCTACTGGAGTTGTGCTGATAGGGATTAGCAATATCTGATTCACCACTTCCTCTTGAAAGATTTCTTTCAATTCTTGTTCTTTCCATTCGTGGGTTTCTGGTTGATAAGGTCAGCCACTGTTGTGGTTCATTCCGCCTTCTTTGGACCTCCAATCTTCCCTATAGGGAGCCATACATCCTCTCTAGTTTTAATTTTCCTACCATCCCCGACTCTCCATCTGGCTTCCTTTTCTATAGCTTCTCTTCCCACAATCAGACTTTGCCAACCCCACGATGGTCGATGGCCTTTTTTTGCATGCCAAAACTGTCCTTGTGGGTAATAGAGGCCTTTCAAAACTTGGCTCCATAAAGCTTCAGGTTCATGCACCAGTCTCCAGGCTTGTTTCCCCAAAATGGCTTTGTTCAAAGTGATAAGGTCCCTGAACCCCAGTCCTCCCAAGTCTTTTCTTTTCTTCAAAGTTTCCCAACTTTTCCAGTGAATCCCTTCTGTGTCAGCTTTTTGCTTCCACCAAAATGCAGCAATTCTTCTCTCTATGGCCTTGCAAACGGAGATCGGGATTTTAAAAATTGACATCGCATATTAAGGGAGCGCCTGGACTACTGTTTTAATGAGGATTTCTTTGCCAGCTTTCGACATAAGCCTTTCTTTCCATCCTTCTAGCTTGGAATGCACCCTTGCAAGCACCCATGCAAACATTTCTTTCTTTGATTGGCCCCAGTCCGATGGAATGCCCAAGTATTTCCCCATTTTGTCAATTATCGGCACTCTAAGCTCCTCGGCTAGTCTATTTTTCACCTGCTGTGGACATCCTTTGCTAAAGAAGATTCCTGATTTATTCAGGTTAACCGCTTGTCCCGAAGCCTGGCAATATTGATTCATGATATTTGCCACATTTTGACATTCTTGAGTTGACCCGTCAAGGAAAAAGATAGCATCGTCTGCAAAAAGTAGGTGCGATAAGGTCGGGCACCACCTATTGAGTTTGATTCCTTTAATTGTATCGTCCTCCACTGCTTTGTGCATTAACGATGACAGAGCGTTAGCCATAATGATGAATAAGTAAGGGGAAAGAGGATCACCTTGTCGAATGCCCCGAGTAGGATTGAAATATGGTAGAGTTTCCCCGTTTACTCTAACTCCGTAGGAGACTGTGGATATGCACTGTCTAACAAGATTCACCCACCTCTCACAAAATCCCATCTGAATCATACTGGAACAGAGGAAGTCCCAATCCACCCTATCATAGGCCTTTTGCATATCTAACTTCAGGACTGCTTGGAACTTCTTTACCCTTTTCCGCACTCTTAGCTGATGTAAGACTTCCTGTACAATTAAGATGTTATCTTGTATTTGCCGGCCACTGACAAATGCACTTTGCTCAGGGGAAATAAGGTCGGGAAGCCACTGTTTAAGCCTATTAGCCATAACTTTAGAAATAATCTTATAGCTGAAATTGCACAAGCTGATCGGCCTGTATTGGTTGAGGCTCTCCGGGTTCATAACTTTAGGGATCACTACTATGTGTGTGCGATTTAGTGTCCTGTCAAGAAGACCAGTATTAAAGAAACTTTCCACCATTCCATACACATCTTGGTTCACATGCTCCCAATGCTTTTGGAAGAATTGTCCATTTAGCCCATCTGGTCCCGGTGCTTTTGTGGCCCCCATTTGAAACACCGCTGCTTTAATCTCTTCCATTGTAACCTTAGCCATTAGAGCCTCATTCATTCCTTCCTTAGCTAGATTCGGACACTGATTCAACACTGGATGTATATTTGTAGGCCCTTCAGTGGAAAACAACGATAGATAAAAGGCCTGTATATGTTCTTTTAATGCTCGATAGTCTCGGGTCCATTGGTCCTCCCCAATCTTTAAGGTAGTGATTCTGTTTCTCTGCCTTCTCTGGATTGTGGTAGCATGAAAATATCTCGTATTCTTATCGCCCCATTTCAGCCATTTAATTCTAGATCTCATGCTCCAGTACATTTCCTCTTGTCTCCACAGCATCTCAATTTTCTCTTTTGTCTCCTGAATATCCTCTCTTTTGGCTTCCCCTTCTGGTTTGTTAGTAAGCATAGTGAGCCTGCCCATAAGGTTGGTAATCTGAAGATGTGCATTCGAGAACTTCCTCCTACTCCATTCAATTAATGCCCTCCTCACTGCATCTGATTTGCTTGCCATGTTTTGGTTGGTCGTTCTGTGGCCTCTCCAGGCTTTTTTAACAATTTCATCACATTCCGGATCTTCAAGCCAGAAAGCCTCAAACCTGAACAATTTTTTCTGATTTCTTCTTTGGGGGTGTATCGATAGCAAAATAGGGCTATGGTCCGAGCCAATGGCCGGTAGTGCAATAGCTTCCGCCTCCGCGAACATGACACGCCAGTTCATATTGCACACAACTCTATCTAGCCGCTTTCGGATTAGTTCTTCCCCTTCTCTATTATTTGTCCAGGTAAAAGCACAACCCTTACTTTCCACATCCATGAGCTCACAGTCTGTCATCATCCTTCGAAATGCTGCTAGCCGGTAGTAGTCCGCTTCTCTCTTCCCTATCTTCTCCCAGTGGTATAAGATCTCATTGAAATCTCCCATACAAACCCATGGATAGACGTTTTCAGTATGAATTCTTTGCATCCTTTGCCATAAAGTAAGTCTTTCCTGATAGTTTGTTGAAGCATACACAAAGCCAATCCTCATGTGTTGTCCACTCATTGGCTCTTGACAAGATACATCTATAAAATCAGCCGAGCACTCCAAGATCTCCAATTGGATTTCTTCACACCACATCACCACTAGCCCTCCCGCTCTTCCTACCGGATCCACTATTGTGGATTTCTGAAAATTTAGTTGCTTCTGGACTCTTTCCACTACTTCCTTTCTATTTTTTGTCTCCATTAGGAACATAACATTGGGTCTTTCTTGAACCACTAGGGCTCTAAGATGCTGGAATGTCAGGGTAGAACCCAACCCCTGGACATTCCAGCTCAAGAACTTCATTTATCTCCCGGTGGCTTATTAGGGCTAGCCACCAAAGCCCACAACTTGGGGTCTTCCTCTACCCTTATCGGGGTATCATGCAGCAGGTCATCATCACTTCTCTTCAAATTAGCTCCCTGAGGTAAGTAGGGGTTATGCCTTCGTACCTTCTTTGTTGCAGGAACTTTTAGTCCATTTCTAGAGCTTTTTGCTTTCCTTGGAATGCTTACCGAGGGGGTTTCCACCCAAGGAACATCGGAAATCAGCAGCTGAGCTTCCTGTGGTCTCTTCCCCAAAGCCCTCCAAATGCTTCCCTCTTGATTCTGGTTGGTGTATTGGACTATTGCAGGTTGTTGTATCTCCGTAGTGCCCATAGCTTGACTGTTTTCAGATGGTTCTTCCTGAAGCGGTGTCACTGGAATAACTTCTTCCACCTCCGACTCTTCACCCTCCACCTTGTGAAACATCTCCCAGAATGGGCTATGCTCCTTAGCCTCCGCTTTTAGCCAATATAGTCCTTCACTGATAGGTTTGAGTTTGGTCTCGTTATAAAGCACCTCCTCACAACTAGTTGTATAGTGGCCTATCTTTCCGCATGAGTAGCAAAAATGGGGTAGGCGTTCATATCTGAAATCTATCCAAAAATTTTCTTCTTCGAAATCTATCATAACCCCCGAGACTAAAGGTTTCAACAAGTCAAGTGACACTCGGGCCCTACCAACCTTACACGGGCTACCCTCCTTTGTTCCCAGTTTTACTTCCAATACATCTCCAATTTTTGAGGCTACTTCTTTGATAATTGATTCAGTAATGCACACTAAGGGTAACCCATGAAGTTGTACCCAAAAAGGGCAATGAGTGAAGGTGTGACGGTGTATGGGCAACTTGGGGTTCAACTGTTGAAGAATAAGTAGATTACCTGAGAAGGACCACGGGCTAGCTTCCAACACTCTTCGTTTCTCCATTTCAGATGTGAAAGTGAAGGTAAAGAGCCCTTGTTGTGCCTGATCACACACTACCCTTTCTGTTTTCCATGCTTTCAACATTGTCGATTGGAAGGCTTGGAAGTTAACATTAGGCTTTGAATGGAGTTTCCCCAATAAAGTCAGCTGACATTCCTCTATTTTCCTCTCGGGAATTTCCTCAAACACCTTAACTACAGAGTCTTTTGTCCACATTTTACCCATACGTTTGCAAAGTGTTGCCATTTTCTTCTCTCTCTCTAATTCTTTCTCCATTTCTATATACTATTGCAGCAAAAGCCAGGGTACCTCATTTCAGCAGGGTGGGCCACAGAAAGAAAAGTTTATTGAAAACATCAAACCTGGAGTGCGCCTTCTATTGCACTTCTGGAGTTCTCATTCCTCGGATAAGCTGCTACCTTGGTTCTACTTTCAGCTTCAGCAATTGCTAAGAAGGGATAAGGGTTCCAGGATTGAAGGGAGCTCAAAGTCTGTTTTGCACTTTCTGGGTACGAGTCATTCATTCGCAAAAATTAGGCGATTAATTCCAAGAGCTGCTGGTGCCGCCTTCAATCCGGTCGTCCCCCAACCCCCCACTCGGAAAGAAAAAGGCAAAGAACAACAATAATAATAATAGTTATTGCTATTATAATACTAACAAATTTGCAGAAGGAGAGTGATTTGGTAATACATTTTGCTAATAACTCTTAAAGCGCATGTTAGTCATTGCTCCGCACATAGAGAACGTGAATTTCCATCATTGGGAACATCTAGGGGTGTGCAAAAAACCCAGGACCGCCCAGGACCGCCCAGGACCGCCCGGGACCGGACCGGAACCGGTGGTTCCCAAGGGGATCGGTCCGGTTCCCGGTTCCAATTTTTTGGAACCGGTGGGTATCGGTCCGGTTCCCGGTTCCCGGTGTGGAACCGCCCACCCGCCCACCCGGACCGGACCGGTAATATAATAATAATATATTTATTTTTTAAAATTTTAATTAAAAAAATTTGACCAAAAAAAAAAAAAAACGTAACTAGACACTCATAACTCTCTGCTCTCTTATCTCTGGACACTCATTTGATGGGTACCCACTTGATTTATGGATGATGTGGTTAATAGAACCGATCATAGTATAGGAATTGTATGGAAAGTTATGTTCTTTTTTTTTCTTTTTGTTCCATTGATCCGATGTTGGTCCACATATTTTTTTTTATTTGTCAAGGAAAACTTGGTGGGACCGGTTCCATGGACCCGCCCGGGAACCGGACCGGACCGGCGGTCCGGTTCCCGGGCGGGTCCATGGAACCGACGGGCGGTCCTCGGTCCCAAAATTGAGGACCAACACTGTGCGGGTTGGTCCTAGGGTTAGGGGGTGGACCGGCCCAACCCGGACCATGCTCACCCCTAGGAACATCCCAAACTATAGTGCATCATGGACCTAGTTCCTAGGACTATGTAGGGCAAGTGCAAACACAAGAAAATTGAGAGTGCAGGGATCAACGGTTATTCTACTGGAACAGTCGAAAGTTATACTCACAAGACTGCTTGGACACTTGCGTCGGGTCCCTCGTGTTCTAGCGAATTCATCCCAATCCGCCTATGGTAGTATATGACAATTACTGGATCATACAAAAACTCTTTTACTTACAAAAAAATAGAAGGGCCTCCCTGCACAACTTCTTACTCGCATCCTCGAGACCTCTCTAATCAAGACATAAAGTTGATGCTTTGAAGTATCACTCAAGTATCAGATGTGCAGGCCTCCAAGATGAAGAGGGATTACGTAGTCAGTACCCATTTTTCATCTGAAAGATATCTTGGGAAGACCTCGTTGGGATATGCCAACTTGCATTTGAGGCTTCAAAAACTTCTTTGATACTGGGAGTTGGAGGGGACCGTTCTGTCAGTATCTCTGTGAGGTTTGTGCCGAGCAAAATCGGCACAAACCATGACTTGACTAGACGAGCTCTAGGTGTAATCTTGTGTCTTTGCCGAGTCATTTGCATTGCTGCATTTCTGTAGTTTGACGACAAAAGTGACGTCAGTGCCCTTGTCGTGGCCTTCACTCTCGATGGATATGTGACCTCTCATGAGATTTATAAATCTAAAATCATGAAAAGGAGAGTAGGCGAGATGTCAGATCACAAAATCAAGATAATGCAATTTCATCCGGTGGCTTGCAAACTTTAGTAGACAAAAGGGTCAAGAAAATTGTCTCTGAGATATCATGAGTGTCCAAAAGGGGTCAGAAAACTAAAATAGTAACCACTGCAAATAAATCAATCCACAACCTCAAGGGCTGCTATTTGATATTATGCTTCGAGAAGCATAAAATTTAAGGTTCAAAGATCCATAGATCTTTCCTGATTCAACTGAACTCATTTGAAGCCCTCCCAAGGTTGGACATTCTGACTCACAGTTTAGTGTGCATGAGACAATAGGGCTTCATATGCTTGACGAACTAGTAATCAGTAAAGCGTCCAAACGACCATATATGCTTACACAAGAAAAGAAAGTTGCAATTTGAGCAAAAGCGTTAAGCAGTGTGCAATCTACCTTTTGCAAATAGCAAGTACAAGTCCTACACCGCCACTACCTCGATTAGATCCACTTCGAGGATGAATAAATCTGGTAAATATTTGAGAAATATCTTGTGGCTGTATGCCACAGCCAGAGTCCTTAACTTGTTATGAGAATCCAAGTCAGTTGCGTCATTAAGACAATGATAACCCAGATCGATTTTTACAAAAGACAGCCATGTTTTCTGATATGGGATGCGCTGTAATTCAAATTTATCAGTGCAAGAGAACATGAAGCAAAGCAATATATAGCAAGCCGAGAGAGAGAGAGAGAGAGAGAGAGAGAGAGAGAGAGAGAGAGAGAGAGAGAGAGAGAGAGAGAGAGAGAGACAGAGAGAGAGAGAGAGAGAGAGCTGAAGATAAGGAGTTTTGCACAAAAGGACAATCTATACATGCTAAATGAAGCTAAACTGCAAAAGCCATCAACCTGCACTCTCAGGTAGAAGTGGACATTGCTAAAGACTGGATGGAAATCGGTTGGTTGCCACTCCGCTAAAGACTTTAGTTTTGCAATGGAAGCTACAACTGATACGTAGCCTTGCTTTGTGAACTTCACCGCATTCCCAATTATATTTAGCATAGTTTGCATAAGGCGTCATTAAGACAATGAATTCTTTCATCATTTTAGAGTCATCCTTTCATCAAAAAGTTTGAAGACTAGGTCGATCTCGGGATTCTCTAACATGCACAAATGCTTCAGAGAATGAATAAATGAGACCGGGAAATCATTCTGAGCATGGAAATACTCACCAGGGCTATTGTTAGGCAAGTCAGTCCAATCATGCTGGACAACCTTCATTTCTGATACCTTGATCAGCTTGAGAAGAGCTTGATTAACCTGAACAAGAGCATAGCTTCAATCCATCTTTTGCAGTTCAACAATCAAGCCCAGACAATCAAATCAACTTGTATGACCAAAATACCGAAACAGTTTGATGTGATTCCCTCATTTTTGAGAAACTCTGGACTGCAATAATATGTTCAAAAGCCACATCTAAAAACCTCTCAAGTCTGAATAAACTTTACAAATTCCTTTTGATCTCAATTCATACGCACAACAAGTCAATTGAAAGAATTAAAGTATATCAATTTCATTGATAATTAGCACAAAACCTATAAGCACTAAGCTAACCGTCTAGAATGATTTCATCCAACTTATTCACATGTTTGTCCAGTGCACTCCGAAAACCTAATTGCCCTCTATAAATTATCATGGAGCAAGCATGTAGTAGTGCCAGAAAAACTGCCCTCTAAAAAAACAATATCTAGCTTTCCAATTATTGTTCAAATAAAGTACCTCTTTAGTCCTCTCATGACTCACTAGGTGCCCTCCATGAAGCTCCATCATTCTATTCAAAGGAAGGACCATCGCATACTGAAATGGATGCAATACCTTTGGGAAACATTCATAACCTCCACCAGTCACATTGAGCAATCCTTAAGATAAAACTCTGTGGGGCACCATGGCAGCCAACTTGCAAGCGATCATAGCTCCTGTTTTGACAGCCAAAGAGGGCAGTTAGTCACCCTGAAACAAACAGGAACCCGATCTGGACTCACGGGCAGACATGTCATGAATGTGATTTTTAGTTCATTATTAAGTTTAAAAAATGGCCAGATAAATCCAGGCATCCAGAAATTGCAATCGGAATGGTTGTTTCAATTTCTCATATGAACCATAGAGCCAAATAAGCATCCATGAAATTTGGGTCATTCAAAACTCACCCATTGAATGGCCAATGACATGGGCTCTTTCCCATCCCAGGTGATCGAGTACAGCAATCGCATATATCATTCCCAGCGCACCAAGGTATGTTACCTTCGCTTTAACAAAATCACAACAAAAATCATGCATCTCATTGATGCTACACATTCATACATTCGAAGAGAAAAATGTTTTGATACGGGAATCATGCTTGTGTAGGAGGTTGCATTGGGTTTTGTATGCGAAGAGAAAAATGTTATGATATGGTTATCGTGCTTGTGTAGTTGGTTGCATTGGGTTTTGTTTATAATCTGGAAGGGGCTAAGAGGTTCGAACGAGAAATGATGCCAAACGACATGTTGACAGGTGAAGAATGCTGAGTCGACTTCGAATTCGTCAATGCAAAGAGATAGATTGAGAGGCCAATGATAAATGATCACGTCCCATGAGGTTATGAACCGATATCGATGTCATTAATGAAATTATTAATCGGAGGAGAACCTCTCCCACGAACTTTATTCCGTATCCCAGATTTAGTGACTCAAAACTCTCTAAAATATCCGATCCCACTCCTTTACGAACTTTACTCAAATTTCTAAAATGTCGAAACAAGCGAAGGATTGCAAATTCAATCCTAAATTTTTTATTGTGCCAATTGAATTCTAAACCAATTCACGCTTGTCAATTAGGTCTATACGGCCAATTTTTGCTGAAAATTACTGACATGGATAATTTTTAATAATATTTTATATTTTTATCGATTTTCCATTTAATTTTTTATTTTTCCTTTTTTCTTTTCTTCTCTTTTCCTTCTTCTTTTTTTTTAACTGTGGCCAGCGAGAGTCACCGGGCCCTCATTGGCCACCAGGCGAGGGGGCGTCGCAGCCCTCCCCTGGCTTTGGCTAGATCTAGCCTCGCAAGGCCGGCCACTATAAAAATAAAAAAAAGAAGTAAAGAAAAAATAAGAAAAAAAATTAAAAAAATTAAAAAGATTTAGGACTCCATCGGCCGGAACGTGAAAAGGCTAAGGCTAAGAAAATAGAAGAAAAGAAAAAATTACAGGAGACGGGCATAGGAGAGAGTGTTTTCAATCATGCCTAAGAGCAATAGATGTCAAGTTGACACGCTGCACTCTCGATTAAGAAAAGCATCCGCAAATTTCAAGCAGAAAGTGAAATATCAGAACCATGCTGTAAAAACTTGTCCTCTTCTCTGAACTAAAATTATATAGATCGCCGTTGAGAGTACGACTTAACAATCTGAAACATTGTCAAAACATGTAGGAAGAGGAAGAACGGGAAGTAACATCCAAGCACCTATTCATCAAGCCAGCCGAAAGTATTCTGTTGAGAGTATGGCCAACGAGGACCGGTAGCAAAGCCAGACGAATCGCCTTGGTATCCAAATTGCGGTCCCCCGTTAGGATCAAGATACCCGTTTCCACGAATCACGGTTCCCTCGGGCCTCGCATTGTTCGTTCTCGTCGGATTCAGTTCATCCAAATGGGAAGCATATCGTTCCATCGCTGACATGTTCGCTTGCTGGGATGATTCGGCGATGGAACCTGGGAGTCCACAGGTAGATGTCAAGGGCCCTGGCTGGTCATACCCGGGATCATGACCTGTCATGTAATTTCTTTGAGATACATTTGGATCTTGCTGACCATACAGACGGACCGGCGAACGCATCTCCAGGTCCCTCCAGTAAGGTTCAGAGACATTGAGTCTGCAATTATCAGTGTCCCTCATGTGAGCCGTACGCTGTCCCTCCAAGTTCCGTGCCCCATGAATGGTAAGAGGGCCACCACCACTTGACCATCTCTGAGTTGAACAATGTTCATTGTTGTTCAGTCCATACATCCTGCTGGCATCATCAGAGAGAGTGGATCCTTGCCCGCCATAAAAGTTCTCAGCATGTGACAGACATACTCGAGCCAGCGTGTTGATAATTCATGCCGCCCCAGACATCCTTCTCAAAGAGAACTTCACGTGATCTTGAGGATCAATCATTGACAGACGACTCGGGTGAGGGACGACAAGAGGTTACCTTCGCCAGTGGCTCCTTATCAATTTCTCTTCCGCGTATTCCTCTACCACCTGCCTTTCCCCTAAAGGACCGATCATTGAGCAAAAGACTCCCCATTCGTCCAATTGGGCGAGGGACAACGAGGTGGCTCCTTATCAATTTCTCTTCCGCGTATTCCTCTACCACCTGCCTTTTGCTTAGAGGACCGATCGTTGAATGACAACTTCCCATCTGTCAACTTAAGCGAGGGATGATGAGGTGTTTCCTTTGCAGGTGACTTCTCATAAATTTCTCTTCCACTTGTTCCTATACCATTGGCCTTCCCCGTAGAAGTCCCAGTAGACTGGCTCTCCCTGCTTTCTGTTCCGCTGTCATTTCGAGAAAAACACCCTTTTTGACCTTCAGCCATATCGACTCGGTCTTTGGTTTCTTCAGGCCTGCCCATTGGCACGTAGGTATCACCTGTGAGTGACGAAGTACTGACGCAAAGGCTCCGGTCATCTTTCGGATAATGAAGATCCAGTGATCCATTGCAATGATCGCTTGACAGTGGCCTCTTTCTCTTCGTTGGCAAGTGACCCTGCTTTTGGGCTATTGTCCTGTGTTTTGCAGTCCAATCTCAACGGCTCCATAGATGCAGCAACGGTGGCTTATTGTTCCACTGTTCAATTTGTTTATCCTCCACGTCAATGGACCCTGGCAAGTAAAATGACTGAAAATGAAAGGGTTACAGTGAAGCCATCAGATGCAAACATATGATCAGAAGGATGAACAGGATGTCCCATTTCACCTTTCCAGACAACAATCGATCATCTTCCCACACCAGATCATACCGAAACATTTTCTCATCTAATCTGCAACGCACCACTAGATTTAAGTATTTGCAAAGGAAAAAGAGAGGGCTCAAAGTAAAATAGTTACCTTTCAGTTTCGGATGGCACAATCAGAATAAGGAGCTTTGGTTTGAATTCAAGAGCTTTATCAATAAACTTGTTCGCCAAAGCTGCTCTAACTCCGAAAGGAGGATTTAGCCCCTTGATCTACTCAGGAAGCAACATAATAGAATGATAAAACATTCAATAACGCATGGTTATATTCAGAGAGAGAGGGAAGGACGGAGGGAGGGAGGGAGAGAGGGGAGCGAAAAGTCCAATACACCCAACCAAAATGCAGAAGGCAAAGCAAAACTCTGCCACTTAACAAATTCGACCCTTGAGGTAGCTCTTGTAGTTGGACAGTCATCCAGTCCCTCGGTTCAAACTCGAAGTAATTCTGCAATCAAAAGGAGGAGAAACTATATAAAACCAGGCTTACACAAAGGCAATTCCAGGTTCAATTACCAAGTACATTTCACAGAGATCATAGCAACACCAGCATTACCAGCATATGCTAAGTCCACCATTATTCTTCTTCATGGCATTCACTGAAAACTAAACTAACTCAAAGCAAATGCTAAAGCATAAAAAATGGGTTACCAGAGGCCACAGCCTGGAAAGACCCTAACAGAGACTCCCTATTTCAACCTATAGGCATAAAAAAGAATCGCTAACAAATTGCAAGTGCAAAAACAAGTGAGGAACATGAATAATAAACCTATTTTCTAAACCACGGGCAAATTGCATCTAACAGACAGACTAAAGTTCCATATCATCCAACTTTTTGACAGTCGTGTGTGCCTCAATGTAAACACCATGCGCAAAAGGCACACACACATCAAGTGCATGGGTCACTAGTAAAATTATTTTGGCATGCCTCAAGTTTCTTATACAAGCTTCAAAAGCAACAACATCCTGCAAAATTGTCATTACTTCAGATTTCAAAGTCCAGCATAACCAAAGTGGTGAGACCAAAGTGGAAGCAATGAGGATAAGGCTGAGAAAGCAGGTAACTGTGGCCGACTCACAACTACTTACTCACGCCCTTCTTTATGGTTATGGACAGCCTATTCCTCGTCCATATTTCATAGTTAACAGGATGGCTAAGCTTTCAACTGCACTTCAAACCACAATCCAGCAATTTCTTACCAAATTTTGGTACCAATTTCCTTTCACAGAAAATTGACAGTGTGTCTACTCCACACTTAAAATTATAACTTCAAAAGAATGATATAACAACTCATGTAGGTAGGCTACATGAGTCCTCCTGAATCAACATTCCCTACTAAGCAGGTCATGGAGATAATTTTCATTGATTGCTCCTGCACTCTGAAGCTCGAGTACCTCAACACTTCATCCTCCTCTGCGACAGCGTACAGGTCATATGGATGCAGCATTGCGGCTATCGACTCTGAATACAGAGAAATACAGAAGATATTATGCGAAAGGAACCACACTGTTCCTAAAGAAATCTGGCCTAATGCATTCCTGAATGAAGTACCATGGGATTATAGGCAGGCATATGAACCAACTAGAGATGCTATCAGACAGGGCATATCAGAGTTCTATGCAAATAACCCTGTATAACCACCTCAACCTCGGCAGCCTCCTCAACAACAGTCGTGTTCCCAGGACCCTTGGAGTGGACCACTTTCTCAAGACCCATGGAATTTCGGTCCCCCCTCTGATCTCCAGAATATAGCCAGCAAGCTGCAACCAACACTTCCTCCCAGGGAATCCAATGCTCCTCAAAGAGAATCCGATGCCAGCACTAGCAACAGCAAAGCATCTCCAGATTCTCTAAACATAGAAACGCTACAGCTTACTTTAGACCTGAAACGATGGAAACGCTGGAAATATGTGGATGAAGACAATCCTGAAGATGTCCTCTACTCTGACAATGACTTTCCAGACCTCTCGTCGTGAATTATTGTACTGCTAGAATAAGTGTGCCAACTTTGGCCAAAGTATGTGTCAGTGTGCTTTGTAAGAGCATCTAATAAAGATGCATACTGCTTGAGTCTATGGTTGTGTTGTTAAGGGTATGTAATACCCTTGGACCAATATAAGGGTATCATCCTTCAGTTGTGCAATAAGACCGAGTTAGGATAATCTCTATGGCATACACATCTCTTATGTCTTTCTAAACACTTTCCCTCTCTTCCTCAAGGTCTGATGACCTT